GATTTCTTCTTTCTCAGGAAAACCTCAGTTTTACTCAAGGCCTTTCAACTGGATTGAATGAGGCCCACCCAGATTATTAAGGATAAAGTCCTTTACTTAAAGTCAGCTGATGAGCCCGGCCGGGCGTGGCTCAGCGGTTGAGCATCGACCTGGGATCCAGGCGGTCGGGGTTCGATTCCTGGTCGGGGCACATGCCCGGGTTGCCAACTCAATCCCCAGTCAGGGGCATGCAGGAGGCAGCCGATCAATGACTCTCTCATCATTGATGTTTCTATCTCTCTCCCTCCCTCTCCTTTCCTCTCTCTGAAATCAATAAAGATATATTAAAAAAAAAAAAAAGAGTAGTTTCAGTGGCTTGATGGAAGTGGAAGCCATTTAAAAAAAAAAAAAAAAAGCCAGCTGATGGTAGGTGTGAACTACATTTATAAAATCGTTTTACAGAGTTAACGACTCTCCACTGAACCGTGCCCCTCTGTCCCGAGGCCTGCGCTCTCTGAGAGAGCCCGGACAGATTGGAGCCATGGCTGTTCTTTTTGCTGTTGCCAAGGGAACCACTGTCTTTGCCAAATATGCTTGGTGTGGCGGAAACTCCCTGGAGGTGACAGAGCAGATTCTGGCAAGATACCTTCTGAAAATAACAAACTAATGTACTCACATGGCAGTTATTTGTTTCATTACATCCACCAAGACTGGACTGTATACCTTTGTATCACTGATGATGATTTGGAAGGTTCCCGAGCCTTTAACGTTCTGAATGAGATAAAGAAGAGGCTCCAGGCTACATATGGTTCGAGAGCACAGACAGCACTCCCACACGCCCTGAAGAGTGAGTTCTCAAGTGTCTCGGCTGCCCAGCCGAATCATCACTCTGAAAATAAGGGCCTAGACAAAGAGATGGACACTCAAGCCCAAGTGGATGAACTGAAAGGAACCATGGTCAGAAACAGATCAGGTAGCTCAGTGAGGAGAAAGATTGGAATTATTGACAGATAAAACAGAAAATCCCGTGGATTCGTCTGTCACCTTCAAAACAACCAGCAGAAATCTTGCCCGAGCCACGTGTATGAAGAGTCTCAAGCTCACCGTTATCACCATCATCGTATCAATTGCGTTCATCTGTACCATCATGTCACCTCTCTGTGGTGGATTGACATGGCCACGCTGTGTGAAGAAATGAGGAAAAAGTTATCATCAACCAAGGATATGCGAGAACAAGAAGTTAAAAGCTGCACAAGATTTAAGCCTTTTAATACCGACAGACGGTGTCTGCCAGCCTCTCCAACCCTCCTCTTTTTCTGTTTATAATCTTGTTTTCTGCATCCAGATTGACTTTTGTCCTGTCAACCAATTTGTTCCAATATACTTCAGATTGAACCATTTATTGTAGCAGTAGCCTTAATGGGCTTTTTGTTTGTTTCTTTGGTTAACTACTGTCAGGGGTTGAGCGTCGGCCTAGGATCCAGGCAATCGGGGTTCGATTCCCGGTCAGGGCACATGCCCGGGTTATGGGCTCGATCAATGACTCTCTCATCATTGATGTTTCTGTCTCTCTCTCTCTCCCTCTCCTTTCCTCTCTCTGAAATCAATAAAGATTTTTTTTTTTTTTTTAATGTGCTCTTTCCCAACAAGACGATGCAAAGTCTTTGGGTGATGTTCACTCTTCTCCTTGATATTCTGTAACATAAATACTATGATGTAAAGTTAACTATTCTTTTTCTTTTTTTAAAGAATAGTTTATTGATTTTTAGAGAGAGGGGGAGGGAGAAGAGAGAAACACTGATGTGAGAGCACAACATCTATCAGCTGCCTCCTGCACGCCCCCTACCAAGGACAGAGCCATAACCTGGGCATGTGCCATGACTGGGAATCGGACCAGCAACTTTTTGATGCACGGTAAAGACACTCAACCAACTGAGCCACACTGACCAGGGCTAAAGTTAACTATTCTAAATACATCTTTTTTTTTTTTTTTTTTTAATGTGGAAAAGATATTTAATTATAAAATAGAAAAGTAGTTTTAAGGGTAATTGTTTAAGTGTAGTTTTAAGGGTAATTGCTTCTTTATACNTTTTTAAAAACATTTTTTTTTTTTTTTTTTTTTAATGTGGAAAAGATATTTAATTATAAAATAGAAAAGTAGTTTTAAGGGTAATTGTTTAAGTGTAGTTTTAAGGGTAATTGCTTCTTTATACAGTATAGATAATCTAGAAGGGCCTTAGGGTTAAACATTTTCATAAAGTGATAAAACAATGCAAGAAATAAAACAAGACAAAAGGTTTGAAGTTACATTTTACAAAAAAAAAAAAGAATGAACAGTATGTCAGAGCGTAATGTCCACACATTGTGGAATTCGACAATCTTGTGATGAGCAAGTCATGGCACAGACATGGAGCCTTCACAGGGAAAAGTAAAAGTTATGGTAGACATATCTATAGCATCACTATAGTACAAAAAGTTCTTGTTCTATATACAAAAGCTTTTTTCCCCCCATAAGGATAATTTCCTGGGGGAGGGAGGAGAATGAGTCCATGAAATATTTCAGAAACCCATATGCTTTGAGTTTTCCAAAAACATTATTTTAAAATGTACTGCCTTAAAGTGCTTTCATGTGGGAATCATGATGGAAGGCACAGGATACAGTTTCACATCCCCACTATGAAATTCTCAAAAAACCATAGATTTTGTACTTCGCAAATTCAAGTTATCTTGTAAGCTGCTCCTTCCAAGAACACTATCATTACAATAAAACCAGCTGCTAGTTTATTAGTTAAGATGACCTACAGAATAAAAGGTTGGTGTTTTTTCCCTAGTAACTTTCACCATCTTTGTGGGGAAAAGACCTATGCAAGTGATGCATTTTGAAATTGTAAAACATGCAGGATACGTACAAACACAAAGTTTAAAAAATATTTGCTTCATATACATGTAAATCTACTTGGGTATAGGTGAAGTTCAAATACAAAAATTTGTTTTCTAAAAAATGTTTTCAGAGAATCTGAGACAACTTAAAGCTGTACGGAGATTTCCTGGCAGAAATCTTCTCTTCATATAGAAGTTTACACCTACAGGAGTAAATCCAGCATCCGTCCACCACTTAATTATTACACAACATTTGGTCTAATCAACGATCACCCTTAAAACTGTTCTGTTTCTGAGAAATTAAGGTTTGTACTAAAATCAAAAAGAATTCACAAAAAACAGTGGCTTATTGTGTTTTTGGATCTCTTCAACATTATTTTATCAACTCATTTAGAACTGTAAAAAAAACTATTTACAGAATTCAGTTTTAAATACATTTGACAACTTCAAAAGTTTTATGTTACAGGCATTCAGACCACATGGCTGTAGTCCAATTATTAACCTGCCGTCTCTTCTATTATCCTGTCTTCCCACGACTGCACTTTACTGTGTACAGTTCAAGACTGTATTTTTTCTTGACCAAAAGTAAACTCAAACTACATGTTTGTTTCAATTAAACAGGTGCTTTATTAGTCTGAAGATGAGTCATAGCTTCTAATTTGTCTATAGGCCTCGGCTTCCTTTCTTTCTTCAGCAGCTGCTGTGGACAGTTTCGTGCTTCTGGATTTGCGTTGTCCAGCTGTTTCTGCAGAGCTTCTCTCTCTTCTGCTTCTGCAGATCCCACCCAGTTTTCAGTGATTTCCATACCTTGTCTCTTAGCTGAGGGTTCTTCACTCTAACAGTTTCTTCAGCAATGTCCATTGCTGGTGCTGTTAATACCTGTTGTCCATCTGGCATGGCCACAGTGACGGGCTGACCTATTCCACCGGCTGGAACAGTACAAATCTCAGGCTGGATTCCACCTGTAACCATTGCGATGACTTGCTGAGCCCCTGAGCTAACCTCTGCTGAACTGCACCATCCACCGATTCTGCGGTAACTCCTTCCTCAGTAGCAACCGCTGGAGTTCCGAAGACTTGGACACGGGAGCAGATGCTTCAGCCAAGGCAGCTGGTGTAGCTAATACTGGTGTAGAGTTTGGGTTTCCAAACTCAAGGGCGGCCACACCCGGTTCATCTGTTAGGTTCGCCACTCCCCCAGGTCCCACGATCAGCTGGGGCGCTGCATGCACCGTCACGGCGCCAGGACTCCGGGTTGTGCTCACTTGGTTCTGCACAGCAACCTGTAACATCTCTGCTAGGTCTTCGTTCCCCTTGCCTACGGACATATCAAATGCAGTCCTACAACACTTACTTTCGCGCGCCCACCAGCACCGCAGCTGATCAAAGGCTCCGCCGCACCTGGACGGTTGCGTGGCGTGGCCCAGGGTAGCGCTGTCTTTAACTTGCCCTCTGCACTGGCGTCGGCACCGGGCGAAGCACAGCCTCTCCCCGCCGAGGCCCTCCGCGCTGCCCCCGCAGGGCCCCCTCTCCGCCCCGCGCCCCTTCTTGCGCGCGCTCAGGCAGCCCTGCGGGGAATCAGCAGCTCCCGGCCAGCCTGTAGCAAAAGGAGCGGCATTTGCCGTCGAAATACGAACTTCGTCATCTCGACCTGCTCGTGCTGCTTCTAAAAGCTGCTTTCCCAGATCTACCAGGCGCATCTGGAAAGGCTTGGGGAGCGGGAGCGGGAGGAGGTGCGGGCCCCCGAGGCGCTGACGCGGGCCCCGCACAGAGCGCTTCGCCGCACCAGGCGCTGTTTGCCCCAAATGCCCCAAACGCCCCAAATGCCGTATCCGGTGGGCGCCCCAAATCCCCACCGCAGAGCGCCCGGTGCCGCGCGGGAGCACGTCGTGTGCGGTGAGAGCCCCCCTCCCGCGCGTCTTAGTGTTTGTTGGCTGATACACGGACAGGAGACGGCCCCGAACAAAAATACTCGCCGGACACATAGACACACATGATTGTAACTGTTACAGACTGAAGCACGGCCTCAAATTCGTGCGCCGAGCCTTACCCCCCAATGCGACTGTGTTTGCAGGCAGGGCCCTAAGGAGGTAATTACGGGTAAAGGAAGTCACACGGGGGAGGGCTGCTCCACTAGGACCGATGTCCTTACGGAAAGACAAAGACGGGACTAGACCCGAGGCCGAGCTGGGGTCTGACAAGGTGGCCCCGCTGCCCCGCAGGATGACCAGGGAAACCCCGCGTTTGCTGGCAGAACCAGTTCCCGGCATAAAAGCAGAACCAGAGGAGAGCAACGCCCCTTATTTTCATGTGGTCAGTGCTGGCCCCCAGGATTCCCCCTTTGAGGGAGGGACTTTGAAACTCGAATTGTTCCTTCCAGAGGAAGACCCGAGGGCAGCACCTAAACTACGTTTCATGACCAAAATTTACCATCTTAATGTAGACGACTTGGGAAGAATATGTTTAGATATTTTGAAAGGTAAGTGGTCGCCAGCACTGCAGATTCGCACAGTTCTGCTATCGATCCAGGCTTTGTTAAGTGCTCCCAATCCAGAGGATCCATTAGCAAACGATGCCAAGGAGCAGTGGAAGACTAGCGAGGCCCAAGCCACAGAAACAGCCCCAGCAAGGACTAGGCTAGATGCCAGGAGTAATATTTAAATCGATCTGATCATCAACTGGGCATCACTTCTCCTGTTCTGCCAAGACTTCTTCCCTTTTTGTTTGCATTTAATGGACACAGTCTTAGAAACATTACAGAATAAAAGCCCAGACATCTTCAGTTCTTCGGTGAATAAATGCACATTAGCAAATCTATGTCTTGTCCTGATTCACTGTTATAAAGCATGAGCAGAGGCTAGAAGTACCATCTGGATTGTTGTGAAAGGTTTAAAAGCAGCGCCTCCTTTCTGCTTTTGTTCATGTCTGCCATCATGGTTCAAGTATAAAGCACTGTGAATGAAGGTAGTTGTCAGGGTTAGCTGCAGGGGAGTGGCTATTNTCCTTTCTGCTTTTGTTCATGTCTGCCATCATGGTTCAAGTATAAAGCACCGTGAATGAAGGTAGTTGTCAGGGTTAGCTGCAGGGGAGTGGCTATTTTTCTTTATTTTATTTTATTTATTTTTTTGAGGAGGGAGGTAGTTTAATTTTATGGGCTCCTTTCCCCCTTTATGGTGATCTAATTGCATTGGTCAAGAGCAGCTAGCCAGTTCTTTAGAAGGTGCTCTCCAGCCAAGTCTAACTTTACTTAGACACTGTAGCTGGACAAGCTTGATTGTTTGAGCCAAAATGGGAACATTAAACAAATGCCATGGCCCTCACTAATAACATTGTGACTTTGCTGTCAAATGTAGACTCCTCCCTTCAAGAAAAAGCTTGTGACCATTTTGTATGGCTTTTCTGAAAACTTCTGTAAATCTTATGTTTTAGTAAAAATTTTTTTTGTTATTTAAAAAAAAAAAAAGACACCGGGAGTGCATACCCACAAAGGAAAGGCCGTGTGAGAACACACCAAGAAGGCACTCATCTGCGAGCCCAGAAGACAGTTCTCACCAGAAACCAACCCTACCAGCGCCTCAATCTTGTATTCTAGCCTCCAGCACTGTGAGAAAATTAATTTCTGGTGTTTAAGCCACCGAGTGTGTGGTGGTCTATTATGGCAGCTTGAGCAGACTAATACAATAACGAAAAAGGCAAGAAATACTCACTACAATTACAGTCTTTGTCTCTGCAACTGATCACATGGTCATAAGCGGTATTTGTACCTGCCTTCTTCCCCTGCTCATGCCATGTTCCCTTTGCACGCAGTGAGTAGTAAATAAGCCCTAGAGATCTAACGCGCAGTATAGTAAATATGGGCATCAATGTGCATTATCACCATCAAACTTGCTAAGAACATACTCACTTTATCCTCAGAAAGCACTTCAGCTGGTAGTGATTCAGCCTGGTGGGGTGACCCAAACCTCATCCTGAAGGGTCTGGCCATTAACAGTCCTGCCTACACTGGATCGTTGTAGTTTTTCATTGACCTTAATCGCAGACCAGCAGAGCATAAGGACTTGGGGACTCTAGACCAGTAAAGCATAAGGACTTGGGGACTCAAAGCAAAAATGTTGCTAGTGGGTCACTAGGGATAATCGTAGGTGATGCCACCCCTTGGATTCCGGGACTTGTAAAACTTGGCTATGAGAGAAACAACACCACGTATTGAACGCTGATTTAGAGCATACACAGCCTCCTGCGGGACAATGCCCCAGCCCTGAAAGGTACTGCCACCTAGCTGACACTATAAATGTGTCTTCCAAAGGCCTTTTCACCATTCTATCAAGCAGACTTCTTCAGGATGATGGGAAACACTGAGAGACCAATGAATTCCATAAGTATGAGCTCATTGTGACACTTCATTTTCAATAAAGTGAGCTTATCAATCAGAAGTAATGCTGTGTGAAACACCATGAAGGTAGATTTCACATTCTGTAAGTCCACAGGTGACAGTTTGGGCAGAAGCACTGCATGCAGGAAATGCAAATCTGTATCCAGAATAAGTGCCTGTTCCAATAATAACAAAGCACTGCTTCTTCCAACATGGAAGTGGCCCTAAGCAATTAACCTGCCACTAAGTAGATGGCTAATCAGCCACCCTGGAGAATGGTGCCATATCGGGGACATATATAGTTTTTTGCTGCTAGCAGATGGGACACTCAGCCTCATCTTAGTCCCCACTACACCCTCTTATCTCCTGGATTCCTTGCATTCCTTCAATCTGAGTGAGACCTGCCAAATATCTTTGTTACTGAAATGTTTATTATGCCCTTAGATGAAAATTAAGGTGAAAGTGAGTTATTTTTTTTACATACATGTCTCTATCAGATTTTTTTCTTACACTCATGTACCTAAGATGTTTGCATTTGCAACCCAGCTCTACCTGTTCACTCTCGCTGATTTCACAACTGCAACTACCAGCAATACACTATGAACACACTAATCTCCATGAGACCTCTCTCAACAGTTTTGTCCGTTACCCCAAAAGAATCTGGATGTATCTCAGAAACATCAATCTAAAAACACTGGAAATTTAATTATCTTCTCCAAAATCATTTCTCTGCTTGTAATGGAAAACTGAGTGACTGGCAACTGTCCATTCGGTCACTCTAGCCAGCAAGTTGCCCTACAGCTCTCCATTTATCTTGCTTCCTGCACCAAATTAGTAGCCAAGCCCTAGCAATTCAGCCTATTAAAGTAGTTCATATACATTCACTAGGACTCCTCTCTGCATGGCTCCCACTTTCATAGAGACTCTTATCACTTTTGTCTAGATCCAGAGTTGGCAAACTTTGTCTGCAAAGGGCCAAGTAATAAATCTTTCAGGTTTTACAAACTATGTGGTCTCTGTGACAACTACTAAACTCTGCTGTTCTAGGATGAAAGTAGCCATAGACAAAACATAAACAAATGAGCATGGCTGTATTCCAATAAAACGTTAAGGACACTGAACTTTGAATTTCATACACTTTTCACAAGTCAGAAAATATTAACCTTTTGGTTTCCCCCCCTAACCATTTAAAAATGTAAAAATCATTCTTATTTCATGGGCCATACAGAACAAGCAACCAACCAGCTTGCTCACCCCTGGTCTAGATTATTGCCTTAGTGTCTCAGTGGGGCCTGCCCCATCATTTTTCTCAGTTTCTCTCTAGGTTCTTAGAAGGCTGATCAGATCATTCTCCACTTAAAAACCCTTCGGTGGCTCCACTGCCTTTAATATAATACCCAAAATCTTTAACATGGCATAGACCTGTATAATCCACCTACCAGTGTTAGCCTCATCTCTATCCATACTTGCACCAAACTCTGCGTACTCTGAAATAGATGTCAGGCTTCCCCATGCTTACTTTCCCTCCTGCTGCCTGACCACCTTTCAAGACTGAATGCAAGTCCATCTTTTAAATTTTTTAAAATATGTTTTTATTGATTTCAGAGAGAGGAAAGGAGATGAAGAGAGAGAGAGAAACATCAGTGACGAGAGAGAATCATCAGTTGGCTGCCTCCCGCAGGTACCCCAACGGGGAATCGAACCACGACCTCCTGGTTCACAGGTTCCCCCACTCAACCACGGGACCACACCAGCTGGGCTGCAAGTCCATCTTTTAATGACAATATTCCTAACTCATTTCCTTCCAAGACAGAAGTCCCTCGTATGTCCTCGTGCTGTATCTCACATGTATTTATACCACAGCCCCAGTAACACTTTAACGCACTCATTTGTTTGCATGGCTTCTTCTCCATACTATACTATAAAGTACTTTGGTATAGGAAACACGCAGAGTTCACTTATTTCTCCTAGCACCTAACACTTCAGGGATGATTAATAAATATTTGTTGAGTGAATGAACTGATGGATTCCCCAAAATACAGCCCGCACGGAAAAGGTAATGGCTAACATCTTTCTGATGGGCTCGTGGGCACTACCTCAATCACCTGTTCCTTACACGAAGAAAACTGAACAACAGAAACGCCAAACTACTTGTCACATAACTAGTGGTTGCAAAGGGAATTCAAATTCAGGCTGTATGATCCGTGTCTGAAACACAAAAGAAGTTGACAAAGGTCTAAAGAACTTGGATTTTGAGATTCTTGACTTCACTAAAAATGCACGCCGGCCTTTGAGGTGCTGGAAGTGCCTTCTGGCTTGATCTGGGTGGCTGCTACGTGAGAGGTATGTGTAAGTAAAAATTCATGACGCTGTACAACTTGAGATTTGTTCACTTCACTGACTGTACCCTGTTTCTCAATTTTAATTAAAAAAAAAAAAAAGCTTTGCCATGTTACCTCATCTTCTTGCCGTGACCCTTTCTAGCACCTTCAACAAATGTTTCTGCAAATTTAAATTCCTTTTTCAACATTACGTTATTTGACTTACGTTTGAACTTTTGCTTCTACATGATTAAACTTATTAGCCCTGTCTGGGTACTTAGTTGGTATATTATCCTGATATACCAAGGTTGTGGGTTCGATCTTTGGTCAGGGCACATACAAGAATCAACCAATGAATGAAAGCATAAATAGACGGGACAACAAATCAGTCAATGTTTCTCTCTTTCTCTCTCTCTCTCAAATCAATAAATAATTTTTTTTTTAAATACACATTTATTTACTCCTGGGAGATAGGAACCTCTATCTTTTTCTTTCTCTAATCCCTTTATAACATTAAAATACCTTAGCATCCTGAAATATTTTAAGTACAGTACTTAGATGCATTATTATTAGTATTAACAGCTTTATTTCATCCCACTACCAGCAAATTAGAGCAACTACGGTGCTAGATTTTCTCCTTTCTTCTCACCACAACCACCATCACTTCACCTTACTCAACTCCCATAACCACCTACTTTCCTAAGTTCTTCCTCATTTTCAAACACCTACTGAGAAACTGAGAAGCCCATTCACTTCTAGGCCAATAATATCACCTCCTTCCAGAGCAATTTTGAACATTTGCTCGGCTTTGGTAGACTTTTCCAGATGTTCTTCCCTTCCCTAGGGGCTAGACCATACAGTGGGGAAAGAAATCCTTTTTTACATTGGGTCAAAGATGCCCTGAGGGTAGGGTGGAAAAGAGGGAGGGAAGCCCTAATGTCTTTAGTGTTGCTCAGGGTCAAGGCTGA